TTAATTGTTGAGCATTAATATCACCTCAGCCTGCAATTACAGCTTATTCATGTAAACCTAATCAAGGAAAACCAGCGTATTTGCATAAAAGTTGTAATGAAAAGTATAATGATTTCACTAACAAGACGTGGATAAGAACGCATATCTGTGACAAACACTTTGTGTCAAGGAGAATAGAAAACGATTTTCTTTCCTGAAGATTATTTCAGGCCCATTTAACACAATCTGTACCACTCTGCTGATGTGCAGTATCTCACACACATCAAGTCATATCTCGATAATGTTCCTGACTTCAAATAAAATTTCATTACTATATTTAGTTCTAGGATGGTTGGGAACGGTTGCATTGTTAAACTTAATAAAAACTGGAATTTGTGGAGTATTAGGCAATCCTCAGTGCCAGTTTTCCTCCTCGTGGGTTGAGCTCTATCCCAGCCCCCCCGTGCTGCCGTTTACATCCCAGCTTCATTTTCACCCATAAAACAAGCAATTAAGAATAAGTACAACTGCTTTGGAGTTCCCGAGGCCAGAGATAAAAATAAATTGGCTTTTATAAATTCACTTTTTGCAATGGTAAAACAAAAACCAGCCCTAATTATCAGTAATTTGTTACCTCTAATTTCAGCAGCCAGGCTGACGGGCGTGTGCATCTGGGTCCTCCCAAGCCCCGAGTGGGCACACGGGGAGGCAAACCCTGGTTAATTCAGATTGCAGCTCCCAGGGCACTGCTCAACCTTTGCTCAGGGATGGGGCAGCACCCACTGCAGCCCCACACTCACCTTGCTCTACAGCTCGGTGTGGGGTTTAAAGCCCTGGACTCAACACCCTAACTTCAATTTTCTGTGGAAACTTTACAGAGATCACTTAGACCTGTTCAGCATCAGGAAAGCATCTTCAATTTCCCACCTCTTAAATGTTATTTCCTCTCCAATTACAACTTCTTGCATCTCATCTCATCTCCTCTGGTCATTACCAAGGTGGCTCCTTAGAAAAACCACATTATCAAGGTAAGCAGAGAATTTCCAGAGCACAGATAAGAGACGGGGGAACGAGTTCGCTTTTTGGTACACAGATTTGAAATCTATATTGCAAAGGCAGCCAGCTGTACACAACATCTGGAAGGCTGCACTGCCTCAGAGTGATTCTAGAACAAGGAGGAGCCGTGCCAGTGTCTCCAGTACAATCCCTGCGAGTTCAACCGGCTTGATTTGTCTCCTTGACAACCCGCAGCATGACTCAGGCTTCGGCCCCTGCTAATTAAGAATTTCATTTTCAGCAAGAGGTCAAGACAAGGGAGGCACCAGGGGCTGTCTCCAGACGGGTGGGAAGGGAAGGTTTGGGAAGGTTTGGGAAGGGAAGGTTTGGGAAGGTTTGGGAAGGTTTGGGAAGGTTTGGGAAGGGGAGTGCCATGTCCCAGACAGTCTGTGGGAGTGCATCTCACTGCAGTTCAATGTTATCTATTGCTCCACAACAGATAACAATCTATTAATATGAATATAAATATAACTTAAACAATAGTATCTGTTGTTTAAACACAGTGGCTCAGCCTGAGCACAACCAGCACGATTAGCAGGAATGCAGGAGCAGGGATGGGAAAGCAGAGAGAGAAACCTCAGCCTCCCAAAATCTGCCTCTTTGGCCAATCCTCTGCCCCTGCGGTTTTACACAGACTGGCCAGGGGCAGGGGCAGGAAGCAGCGTGGTGCCAGCAGCAGGCAGAGCCCCGTGCTGATGCTGTGGAACACAAAGCCAACCTGAAGGAATGCTGGCCACGGCAGGGCCAGCCCTGCCTGCCCCTTCTGGCTCTCCCAGCACAGCTCTGGGCCAGATCCCTGCCCTGAGCCCGGGCTGTGGGGGCCCAGGGCTCCCCCAGTCCTGCCCCAGCAGCCAGCACACCTCGCCCTGCTGAGGACTGAGCACTTGGCACCATCTGTGCTCCCCTCTGTGTTTGTATTTTGCCCGGTACCTGTTATGAAACCGTGCGTATAATCTCACCATCAGTTCATCAAGGGAGAATTTAAACATGACACACCAGTAATTGAACTGCAGGAGGACCTGGCTAATTCGTGGTGGTGATTAAGAGCCACTGCAGACTAGCGAATTTTACAAGCGAGTGAACATGCAATAAAAATCTCGCTCATTTGTTTTGACAAGTGTCACTTCATATTAAAGGTACACTCCACCATGAACTCCAGTCTGGGAGCACAACTCTATTCCCAACATGGCCCCTCATTAAATCCTAAACTCAGCAGAATGCTCTGCCCTGTGCTCAGCTCAGACTGGAGAGCTGGGAAAGCTGCAGGGACAGGAGTGAGAGCCCTGGCACCAAGGGGACCCTGCCAAGTGCCACCTGCAAACAAGACACCAAATTTCCCATTTCATTTTCCTGCCCTCGTGTCCTTGCCCTTCTGCTGTATTAGGTCAAAACCAGAGTCAAGACCAGCAAAAAATCCTTGGGTGCGTGTTGCCATTTCCCAGGGAACGAGACCAAGACTGAAACACAACTTCCAGGGATTTATGGAACGTTCTGGGAGCGTTCTGGGAGCATTTCTCAGCTCCGAGTTACTCCCACTGAAATGGGCAATGTGAAGGGCACGGGCAGGCACACTGCTGCTCCAGCCAAGGCAACACCAGGGTCAGAGGAACAGAGCCACCAAAGGCACCTCCAGCAGCCAGGAAACAACACAGGAGATGTGCAGGGACACCCCGAGAGAGGAAACATCACAGGAGATGTGCAGGGACACCCCGAGAGAGGAAACATCCCAGGAGATGTGCAGGGACACCCCGAGGGAGGAAACATCCCAGGAGATGTGCAGGGACACCCCGAGGGAGGAAACATCCCAGGAGATGTGCAGGGACACCCCGAGGGAGGAAACATCCCAGGAGATGTGCAGGGACAGGGGCACAGGCTCAGCGTTGCCACCGTGCTGAGCAATGAATGGGGATTTTCATTTATTTACACTGCAAGTCCCCACTGATGGGATCCTGGGTTTTCATTGCCCAGGGTGGGTGCAGGAAATGCCCGTGGGAGCAGTGAATTATTTGTGACTCAGTGAGGGACAGGGCTGTGTGTCCCACAGGGACAGCCAAACCCAGCAGGAGCTCACCCCTCAGATGGGGCACAGACAGAACACTGCAGCCGACACAAAAACAGCTCCAAACAGGCCCACACCCCTGCACTTCTCTTTTTTTTTTTATATATATTCTAGGAAACTTTGCAGTTCCAAGAAACCAGGCTGCCCCAAATTGTAGCTGTCAGCTCACACCCCCGAGGGTACAGGGCTGTTCACAGGCTCACTGGGAAGAGCCACAAAGCAGCAGTGGAGCCCTCACACAGAAAATCTCTTCTCAAACAGCGAGAGGAGCTTCAAAAAGCCAACTCAGTTTCCAGCGAAAAGAAACTCATTCTATGCTCCTGCCTGAACAAATTGTACAGCTTTCCATCAGGCACTTTCATACCCGTGTACTCAACAACTTCAGAGATCGTTTAAAAAGAAATATGTTACAGGAGCCCTGCCAACCACAAAAAGGTCTTGTGACTCAAAAAGATCAAATCTGAGAGGAAAAAAAAAATACTTAAACATTTTTACACAAACCATTTGAAGTCAAAAGTTCAAAAATTAGTATTTTTACATGCCTGCTCACAGGCAGATGCCCTGAGGTTATTTTCTCAGCCTCTCTATCTCCAGCTATCTCCTTGTAACACTCCGCCTTCCGAGCCGTCTGCATCCAGGCAATTAACTTCAAAATTCTGCTACAGGCACGGGCTGCTTTGAAAATAAACAGGAAGATCCTTCCGAGACAGCCACGGCTGAGCGAGGTGGGAAGCAGAGGAGTTCCCAAAGGGGCTCTGAGGTGAAACATCCCCAGTGCCCAACCCTGGGCACCTGGAGCAGCCTGCCCGGGGCTCTGCAGTGCTGGGCATCCTCCCAGCCTGGTCTGCACGCCCAGAACAACGGGGGGGATGCCAGGCACAGGGAAAGGAGCCTGGATTTAGGACGAGGTGCAGGAAGGGCCAAGGAAAGCTCTGTGCCCATAAGAGGGACCAGAGGGACACGCTGTGAGCTGGGCAGCATCACCCAGCTGGGACAGCAAAACACACCCAGGACACAGAAAACACTGACAGAAACAGCCCAGCTACCCTAGGACACAAAAAACACTGACAGGGACAGCCCAAACACACCCAGGACACAGAAAACACTGACAGAGACAGCAAAACACACCCAGGACACAGAAAACACTGAGAGAGACAGCAAAACACACCCAGGACACAGAAAACACACCCAGGACACAGAAAACACTGACAGAGACAGCCCAAACACACCCAGGACACAGAAAACACTGACAGAGACAGCAAAACACACCCAGG